AGGACGTCCGAGCGGTGAGAGCGGCGGTCATATGCCAATGAGGAGAAGGTATAATCTGAGATGCTATTGGCGGCTTGCGCTCGTGAGCAATGTCAACAGCTTAGTATTGATCTACCCACGGTTTGTAACGTTCAAGTTGTTTACCTGGCGTACAGCTGCACTTGACGGCAACAGCGGTGCGCTAGGGCTTTAAGCACTCATGCCGGCAAGGGTCAAGTATTGCCTGCGGGCGACGTATGAACAATCGGATAACCCCTCTTCTAAGCAGTCTCTCAATAGCATCAGAAGCATGACAACAGGAAAAGTTTGGCAGAGTTTAAATAGGGATTTCTTCTTGATTGGTTCTGACCAATTACCAATCAGTTTTTACCCTTTCAGTAAAAAGGAGGCTTCTGCCTCACATTCCATTGAAAATCGGCTGACGAAGTTACAGAGAGCTCGAGGCGGGGGCTTATTTAAAGAAAATGTTCCAAGTTTTAAGACATTGAGGCAAATGTGAGGTACGATGGAAAAGCTCTCTCGTAACTATTGGTGTGCTTTTAAGTGCAAGAGACTGCTCCAGCTAACACAATTTCACTTTTAGTAAATGTGGTCTGCAATGTGTCATCGTTTTATTGCATCATGGAATGTTTTTGTCACCTCTGCTCGTGCAGAACTGTCACCGAAGCAGAAAGTTGACTTAGAGGTAGTACTTCAACCTCGCAGAGAGGTGGCTTGTTAACTGATCCGTATGTACCAAAACGAACACACGTCACAAAACGTGGTGCATGTATGAACCTTGCATTTAATGGGTTAAAGTGGGTGAGTGCCAACAGCTGTGCGTTGATGCTACGGCTCGTGCTGACGTATTCCAAAAATGAATGATTAAATGATCGTCTTTTTTACTTTGAACAGAGCATGGCTAATAAGAAGGTGAAATTCCTGTGACATGTATATGACGTCATACATTTTTGGGTGACACAAAAGTACGCGGCACGAAACAGTCTGCGTAAGTTTACGTGCGCCCCATTGAAAACAAAAATGAGAAGATTTGAAGTCTTAAAATGGCTCACCTTAAACTGCAGGGAATTATCTTGAACACAGCTACCTCAGTCTCAAGCCACACAGAAATGACTATGTTGGTTTCAAACCACACAGAAATGGCTATGTCAGTCTCAAACCACACAGGAATGGCTATGTCAGTCTCAAGCCACACAGAAATGGCTATGTCAGTTTCAAACCACACCGAAATGGCTATGTCAGTCTCAAACCACACAGAAATGGCTACCTCAGTCTCAAACCACACAGAATTGGCTAGGTCAGTCTCAAACCACAGAGAAATGGCTATTACAGTCTCAAAACAAGTAGAAATTTTCATCTCAGTCTCAAACCACATAGAAATGTGGAGCCGTCCCTCAAAACAGGAGACATGATTGGTGCACCCCTACGAAACAGTTTAGGTAAACGCAGCTTGCATACGAGAGCATGTATTCTGTGCCTAACATCTTTCGGTGTTATAACATTGGATTGCGCCCACTTCATGAGCGGATCCTCTATACGCCATAAGCGGATCCTCTATACGCCATGAGCCGATCCTTTATACGCCATAAGCGGATCCTCTATACGCCATAAGCGGATCCTCTGCACGTCATAAGCAGATCCTCTACACGATCTTTAGCATGTCATGTGACGGTGCTGACTTATCATGGCGCTTGGCGGAAGTGCGGAACGATAGAGTGCTTATAACAGATCCAAAGGGGAATTTAAAAAAGAATTTAGGGACCTGAACTTCCAGCCCAGTGGCTAACGACACTTCAGCAAGTTGGAGTTTTCCATCTTGCTTTTTCACATGCGATCAGTAAATATCAGATCACAACATTAGTATCTCTGCCTCTGTCTCTATCTCTGTTATTGTCTTTGGCCTTGCCTCTTTCCCGAACGTAACAGGCTAACAAGACTTACATCCTGGTTTTGCCCCGATTATAACATCACATGTATTCCGGATATTACATGCATTTCGGGCTTCCTTTTCGGCGGATGACTGCAATTTAAGTTACAGCGGATGGGACCACCAAAATGTGTATTTATTTGTAGTGTATTTTCGATGAGCTTTCTTCCATACTCCATGAATGCATTTTGACTTCGGCGAATGCAGAAGAAAAAAAGTTGCCAGTTGTGTGCTTTTTGTTCAAACATCCTCGGCATGACGCCACGGCTTGAAGTGATGCCATGCATCACAGTATCATTAAGCTGGATTCACCGTCCATATGGCCACGTCCAGGCCCAAAATGCATTGACTGATTGCATTGACTGATTGCATTGACTGATTGCAGCGCACAGAGAGAACGCCTCGTGAAGCGAATTATAGTGTATGGACCCGGAGGAGATTCTGCAACTTCCAACACATTTGACTCAACTTATTTTTAGTCGAGCTGATTGTATTAAACAATCTTCTAATGCTTTAGATATGGTGAGGTTTTTTCAGGAATGTTTTCTGAATTTATGTGGCACCTATCCTTTCTCATTCCCTAACTGATCGTACGTGATTGGTTCATCCATGTCCGATTGCGTGCGTGATCTTAATGAGGACATTGGAAAGTAGTAACCGGCGATGAAATACGATCAAAACAGTACCTAATTAAATGCATTCACAGCCAGCTCTTCTTCAAAATTTTGTTTTGGGGGCTCCTGGCATTGTTCTTCACTCACATCGAAGTAACTTTTTAGGAGCTGGTAATTTCGTTTCACTCATTTGCAACGACGATAGCTAAAGTACAAGTTCCTTGCAACAAATTTCATACAAAGCTTTGTCGTCATACGGGAACATCCCGAGCTTGACATCTTGGCATCTTGACATTATCTCAAAAGAAGCGTGAGGCCCGAGAGCGTTCCACGTCGGGTCGTGACGGCTGCGCCCCGGGGCGTTGCAGGTTTGATCCCGGCAGCCGACTGGGTGGCCGTGATGGAGCGACACTGCTCATCTACCATCCCCTGGCGCACGCTGCGCGAGAAGATTGTGGCGGCGAAGAGCAACGGTCAGATCCCCTACGTGGAGACATTCTCCGAGGCCCCGCGGCCGACCGGCCCACGAGCGAGCACGCAGGTACGGCGGGCGCCGGGCGGAGGTGGACACACATACGGACACACACACAACAGGTAAGGCGGGCGCCGAGCGGAGGTGGATACACACATCAAAGTACAGCAACAACCGAGCAGAGGTGGACACACACACAGCCAGGTATAGCAGGAACCGAACAGAGGTGGACACACACACTCAGGTGCAGCAGGAACCGAGCAGAGGTGGACACACACACTCAGGTACGGCGGGCGCCGAGCGGAGGTGGATACACACATTAAGGTACCGCAACAACCGAGCAGAGGTGGACACACACACAACCAGGTGTAGCAGGAACCGGGCAGAGGGGGACACACACACAATCAGGTACGACAGGCGGCGGGCGGATGTGGACACACACACTCGGGTGCGGCGGGCGTCGAGAGGAGGTGGACACACACACTCAGGTGCGGCGGGCGTCGAGAGGAGGTGGACACACGCACTCAGGTACGGCGGGCGTCGAGAGGAGGTGGACACATACTCAGGTACGGCCAGGTACAGCAGGAACCGAGCAGAGGTGGACGCACAGGCCAGGTACAGCAGGAACCGAGCAGAGGTGGACGCATAGACCAGGTACAGCGGGAACCGAGCAGAGGTGTATACACTCAGGTAGAGCGGTCGCCCGGCAGAGCTGGGCACACTCAGGCACCGCGGGCGTGGAGTAGAGGTTGATGGGTGGCAAAGATCCACCTTTGTCTGAGACGAGACAACGATGGACCCAAATGCTGCGCGATTCTAAAAAAACAGGTATGGTTTTCGTTCGCGCGTGTCATTTCTACGTGCCATGCCATTTTTCAACGTCTTTACCACATGTGTTCGCCGCTCGCAGAAGTTGGGTTGGGCGCGGAGAGGCACTAACGGCGGCTGTATGGGCCGGCCTCTCCGTCGGAAGTGCACTTTGCGAACGGCGAGAAAGACGCGCTTTGTGGGCTCCATCGCGCTGCGCCCGCCTGGCCCGCCTCCAGATCTGCTGGTGCTCGCGACTTCGTCCGCTACGACAGCCAGAGCTGTGGGCCCGTCTTAGCGACAAAGGCTGAATGGTGTGTATGCCACGCTGCAGGGGACAGCTGAAAAGGATGTAAAACTTGCCTTTCACGGAATGTGTGGTTTTTAGCATTTTTGTTTCACTGCCAATTGTGGGAATGTGTGCTACACGACGACTCCATCCCGGGTGCACCTATATGCAATATACATAAGGATGGTCTATTTTTGTTCGTTCCATTGCAGGTGGCTAAGGTTTTTTGCGTGATTGGTTTTATTTTAAGCGCTAACAGCGCTTTTAGATACCTGAAATAGTAATTAGTTGTCTCGCATGTCCTGGAAAATTGTAGATTTAGTGAAACTTGTAGTGACCATATTTTTACCCCAGTGAGATATGTGATCATGTGTCATACTTTCTGAATCCCCACGGAAGACAGCAATGGTTAAATGGTACTTCTCAAGGTAATGTGGCGCTTAGTCTAGAAGTTGCGCCACTTGGAAACTAACTGCATTCGACCTACACACATTTGCCTGATCTGGTGCCAGAGACAAGAATGTCTTCCCTGAAAACGATTAGCAGGTGGCAGGGTATTATCATTGAGGGAGAAGCGTTGGGAATTCATTTAGTAAGGTTTCCTCAAGCGCTGATGACACCGGACCTCCACACTCTCTGTCGTTTACACACTCCGTGCACTGCGAACGCAGGACTGATCCCACCACATTTGCCATCTGGATGGAAATGTGAAATGAAATAGTAAATGATAGTGTCTGTAGTGGGGCATGACTTCGTTATCTTCAGGATTCATCTCTTTTAGGCTGCGGGAAGAGTGGCGGCAGATCTGTGCTGAATTATTAGAAACGCTAGAGCTGAATACTGATTTGATGCGGTAAACATGTGTTGGATACTAAAAATGCCGCTCATTATACTTAATCAAACTGTCCAGCAATGTAACATTCCATAAATTTCCTCTTTTTGCTTGAAAGTTAAGCTATTGCAATGAACTCCTGTTTGTTGCATATGCGGATACGAGAAGCCATGACAGTAAGGGCTCGTGTTTCGAGAATGCAGTGAGGAAGGCTTGAATAGCGATATAGAAGATGAGAAGATTGCTAAAGTGAGCCTCTTGACCGTCAATATGATGGTTTGAATTGTGCTTCTGAAGTGGGTAGTGGTTTGGCTTTCATATATTCATTGCTTGCCTCCGGCTTTGGTTCTTATCTAGTTTTTGAGGTGCGTGATGCAACAGAAGATTGTTGCCATTTCACCAGATTGTTGCAATTTTTACCAGATTATTGACATTTTTAACCAGATTGTTTACATTTTGCACCAGATTGCTGTCACCCCGAGTTACCGTTGTCTCTTGGCAAGGAGTGCTTCGTCGTTTCCACTCATCGTTGTACGGTGCGGGCCATGCTAATCCTACTAAGATTGCATATGTTACTATTGTGTTCTTCTGAGGGCATTCAGTTATCTAATCTCTTCAATAGTATCAGACCACTGGTGTCCTGCAACTTGTCCAGATTTTTCCGGGAATTTCTCTGTGCTTTTACTCATGTCAATGAGCCTCTTCTTGCTCTTGCAGCGAGTACCGCTCTTCCCAGTCATTCCAGGTTTTTCTCCTTAGTATTACAGCCTTTCATTTTTCGCAATGCTATAACTTCTCCGTCTGCTCGAGCTATGTTCCCAACGAATAAACTTCCAATGCTGCTTCGAACGCGACCTTCAATCAGGGAGCTGCTGACAAGATTGTCGAAAACCTCCTGATTGTCATGGAAGGAGCCCCTGAGAGCTTCTCGTGTGCCTGGCGTCCTGCTGCCACCGATCGAGGAAGACGGCTTGCCGATTAAACATGCGGTCATCACTACCCTTAGACACTGGAGTTGCTGCACTCCTTGCGCAAATGCCGAATCGGCAGTGGTCAAGGTCTTTCCACTCCTCGTTGTTATCGGTGGATCCATTAAACGATGTAAACTCATGAGACAATGATCAGTTGTTTTACTTGCTCAACGACCCTCTACAGGCCCCAATCAGCTTAAACAAATTATTTTACTTGAGCTACACGAGCAGAAAACGGATGTCGCGGACGGACGGCATCGGCTCGTGTGCCTAAAGCTGTACGTGGCTTACAGACGCGTTCAGCTTCCTGAACATACTGGGGAGAAACATCTCGCACTACCACGCCCGTCCTATTATTGCTGCAAGGCCTTCCCTCCTTGCTTATCCCAGGACCGTTACTGCGAAGTCCCACTTCCCGTTATTTCCCGAGCACCACTTGGCCTCCTTAGCTGATAGCACCTCCGCCTTCGGGACGGCACGGGATAAACATTGGCCGCTCGCGGCGCGCACAGTCCTGGAAGGAGGAATGTACGAGGGCCACACATCTCAAATACAATCTAAAGGGAATGCTACATATTTGTATGTGGTTTTGAACTGAAAAAGCCATCCTGAAGACCATTCGGTGCAGTTCAAAGCGCTGCCCTTCTGTTCACGGCCCTGCCCTATAGCCATCTAGTTGTAGATTCTGAACTATACGTCCGCGAAAATGTGCAGTATATCCCTTGCAGACTATTTCAATGTGATTCAAGCATGCATGACGCCATTCAAATCCTCCCACCCCATTGGCCACGCAACATCCAAGGTCAAAAAGAATATAATCGTCGAGTCGTTCACATCCGACGTTCGTGAGCACGATTTCCAGACAATATGGACTCCAGCTGACCCCCAATCAATGTTATCCAGACGGTGTCAGCTTCAAACACAAATCACGTTTTGTCTGCACAATACGAGAAGTTAGGCGTGGCTCCTAGTTTTTTTACGGAAATGAGACTTGTAATCGAATAACGTAAGGCAAGCGTCATAACCGAGTATGTAAATACAAGCAAGCATTTTAAACTCACGGATAAGTATGCAAGAACGCCACGGAAGAGGTCAAAACACGAGCATATACCGATATCTGGTTCAACAAAGACCTCCAGCACCGCCACAGCGTCACGGTCACTTCTCGGGAGACTGAAGTACAAGCGAGTGGAACCAGCGTGGCAATTTCGCACCGTTAGCTTGGCCGCACCTCAGCACCATACAAACGTTTTATGACGCAATCAAACAATGATGCATTCAGGAGCATATTTACTAAATAGAGAAATTGCATGGCCTACAGCGGGTTTTTTATTAAAAGGTATAACAATAGTTAAACGTGGGCTTATTTCATCATATCTGGTCCTTACCTTAATGTCTCCAAATCTGGAGCATTCCTTTTCGCAAAATACTCAGCGGACCTTTTAAGGCAACCCATGTCACCTCATCGTTGTTTCTGCAGACAACATTATGGTTTGCGGTGTGACGTCAGATACATGCTGTGCGTGGGTCGAACGCAGGTGAGCTTCTTGTTGAATGAACCCTCTGAATCCCGTGCTTTACTTGAGAAGTACCTGACACGATTTCGTATACCGCGGGCTTTAGAACGTATGATTATATCTCAACTCGGTTAGAAGCTGCTAATTGTTTTCACTAAAACTCAAATTATCAAGGTTACTGCGAGGCAGCCTAACATTTTACCTTTTTGCTGAAATCGCTGCGTCGTTGTGGTGAAGGTGAACAGCTTTTGTCAGCTAAAATGTCTGAAAAAACACACACATATACTTGACAGCAGTATTGGACTATTGCGATGATGCATACGCACACAATATTTACGACGAATTAATGCGCACAAATCAAATTACCCTCATGATCTCTTGGCGCATTTTTGCACACGCGTGTCGGACGCGCGTAAACTGCCCACATACTCGCCTTGCTTTATACCGCATATCTGCGTAAGCCATGCTTTCGCTGAACTACGCTTTTCGATCGCCATCGCCGCTGCACAAAGACTATGCTTGCTCTTCCATCTCCCCTTCATGAAAGTATTAGGACATGAAGACATCAGGCCAACAAAGAGCCACAAGGGCCCATCGATGTTGGCTTACCCCAGGTTCCCCACCCATCCTTGGCACTAATTTCACCACCTGACCGGCCTAAATGTAGCTATAAATGAGATCCTTGGACGGACAAATCTTGCCCAAACGATTTTTAAACGTTGCTAGAAGAGGCTTTCTACAACTTTGTCTGACAGTCAATTTCAATGATCCTCTACTCTTTGACTAAATGACATCTGCCTCTTCATAGTTCCACTCCTGCCTTTTTTCTCATTGCAATGGTTTCTCTAAATCTCGACCTAATTTGCATTGCTCCTGGTAGATCTACTTGGTCCATCTCTTTAATAATATTGAATACCCTATCAGATCCCCTCCAAGTCTACGATATTTCAGTGAACACAAATCCAAGTTCTTAAGCCTATCCTTACATTCTAAGTCGCCAATCCCATTTATCATCCTAGTTGTTTTTCGCTGTGCTCTCCCCAATCTATCTCTATCTTTTTGGGAGCATTGGGTTTAATCCAGTACACAATACTCTAGTTGTGGCCGGGCATAAGCTAAGTACAACTTTTTAACAGCATTTTCCTCTTGTAATGGACATTCCTGTTAATAAGTTCCAGGATCCGAAATATCTTGTTCCCAGCAGTCCCACATTGCTTTAGTGCCTTTAAATCCCTGGAAATTATAAATCTTAAGTACCTTTCTCCTTCGATCTAGTCCAACTCTCGGCCTCCCATTCTATAGCTAATGCCCTAACTGCCAGAACTACCCAAATGCATCACCTTACACTTATCATAATGAAATGACATCTGCCATAAAGAAGCCCAGTTGACCAGTTTCTCTCAGTCAAATTTCACCTAGTCTGCGTTTTACGACACTCTTATCAATTTCTTATGGTCAGAAAGTTGAAGCACCCTGCGTTCTCACCCTCTCTTAATATTATTCACAGAAATAATAAGGAGTAAAATGAACAACACCGACGCCTGTCGAGCCCCACACTCTACCAGCTCCTGCTGAGGTTTAGCATCATTGAGCACTACTTGTTTTCTGTCTTGCAGTCAACCCCCCACCCAGTCAAGAATTTTCTCTCAGTGTCATGCACTTTTCACTGATTTAAGAGCTGCTGTTGTGGCATCTTATAAAATGCCTTATTTAAATATAGATAAACAACATCTTAACTATTGCCTTTATGTACCTGACTATTAACATGATCCACGAGCTCGAGAAGATTTGTCAAAGAGCACCTACCAGCAAAAGGTCCATGCAGCTACAATTTATCAACTGATGCCTTTCTGTGTGCGGCCGAACGCTAGCATTAATGTATTTATCTTAGATCTTGCAATGATCTTCCGATCATGTCAGGCTCTGTTTTAGAGATAAGGAACCCAAACAAATTTGTTTGCTAGTTTGAGGGTGTTGCACACAACACATTTTTGTCTTATTTGTTGATGGTTGGCGATTTTTAACCAATTGCACTTTTCTTGCGCACCTAAATATTTAAAATGATTAAAGCAGACATTTAGACATTAGGAATAGCTTTCACTGCGTCTCTCACTAAATTTAATCATGCATCTTGCGATCGTGACATTTCTTTACTCCTTAAGTATGAACAAAAAAACCTGCAGCGGGATGCTGGAATAGTCCATTGTGCAGCCCCATTCATTTATATGTTGTATCATCGGCGAGTAAGTGTACGATGTAAAAAGCACAGCCCCTATGTGGTCTTTCCAAATGTTCTATCTCGGCTGTTCATCAGTTTAGCAGCCAGATCTTCTAACATCAATCTAAGTCAGTTTTGATAGCGTCGTCCGATCAGTAGTGTTGTCAACAGCTTGCTCCGATGGCAGAATTTCGTCGTTTGACTCATATACAATGCATGGATCGATAATTGTTCAATATCACTTGCTTGCAGAATTGCTAATAACTCATATTTACACCATGATAAATTAGCCTGTTGAAACTGAACATTGCTACTTCCTAGCATACCTCTCACTAGGACTCTGCTCCGATTAGGCCGTACGCCCAGCGACGTGCGAAGCGCGTCACTTGATAAAATGTGAGCGAAAGGGTAAGTTCGTCAGCGATAGCTACGGCAGACTAAATACGGTATCAGCCACCCACTTGGCTCTGCCTGATCCTGTGATAGCATGATCCTGATCGCTGCGGTACATGGAATCCAGTGCGACAAAGGCGCACCTTTGGCGGCCAGTCTGTTCTGTTTGTCCGTCACAGCTTGTCAAGTCGATACTCGACGGCTGCTGAGCCGCTCGCTCCCGGGCCGGCCTCTCGCTCTCAGAGTGCTCCAAGCCCATTGCATCCGACCGCGCGGTAGCTAGCGCGTATCCGACGCCCACGCCTGGTCAAGTGCGCGACGCTCCACTCCAGTGATGCGGTCTTTCTTTTCAGGAGAGCCCGAGCGTCGTGGAGGCGCTCTACCGCAACAGGGACCGGCTAGAGACCATCTTCCGGATTCTGGACAAGGACCACTCTGGTAGAGAAGCGGGCCGCGGGGTCGCGCTCGCGTGGACCTGTCGATCCTTTACAGATCGGAACGGAATAGTCAGCTAGACGAGCAGTGGGCCAGCTGTATTGAAGAATGTTCCCATCTCTGAAGGCAGTTATTTGAAGCATGTGTTGTCATTTGGTGATTCGGCCTATAATCGTCCGTGACAAGCTGGCATGACGGCCGGGGCGACATCGAGTTTCTTAGCACATTTCGCCGGGAGGAGTCTGTCAGGTCAACTGGACAAAGGCTAAACAACCAGCACGCCTACATTGGATGGAAAACTTAAGAGGCTATGTCAGACAGGTGGCCGGGCTGCACGCCCTCTGTCTAAATTGGTTATATATTTATTTTGTGGTTCAGAAGAGACCAACTTTTTCCAACACATACCGCTCGTTTTCGTCTTGTTTTTGTTAGTGGCTCAATGGTTGGGGATTTTTGCCAAATATTCGGAGGCCGACACAAACACTGGGGACTGAGGCCGTTGCAAAGAAAAGCAAGCTTTACACGAGGCTGGGTGTAAATCTGGTAAAGTTGAGCTCATTTCTCGCCGTCCACTAACTCACGAGTCGATTACATATCAACGGGGTGCGCTGCTGCTGCGTTCTGACGGCCGCCTCTAGAGGGAGACGCACTTGGCACAGCTCATGCGGCTCCATGCAAGGTCCCCCTGCGTGTCAGCACGCGCCGCCCTTCCCGATCACGTGTCTCGGTCAGATGGGCAGGTTGCCCATTTCCTGCGTGGAATGAGTTATAAAGTGCAGGTGGGGCCGAGCTCAGTTCCTGCTGGTCGGCCAGGGCAGATAGTTTGCAAGAGAGCGGTATCCTTTTCAAACGTGAACACGGGAATTGTCGCATTGAAAGTAGGTTGAAGCCAATCCAATGGGCCTGTTCAGCACGAGACTGGTGTATCCTGTTGATTGGAATGACAATGCGGCGGCGGTGCTCCGTCCAGATCGGTCGGAGGCCAGCAGTTGTGAAACGATGCAGCTCACTGGTGTGTTGCGGCGGCCCTGGCAACGCTCGGACGTCTGTTCCTTCCAGCCAGGCCAACGTCCGTCATATCGGAAACAGGCGGCCACTTGCTGCAGGCATCCACTGGAAAGGCCGTGTCGCCCCTCGGAAATGATCCTCTGGCGCCGCCGTTGGTGTAACGTCGGCTGCTGCCGTCACAGAATTATGTTCTGCAGCCACAAAGAGGGGGACGATGCGATGGTGTGAGAGGAAGTTGCGTACTATTTCCAGGGATGCAGTCCGAACAGACGACGGCGTTTTGAAGTGTATGAAGACAGGATACCAACATAGTTCAATTGGGGCAATACCGACATCGATTGGCGAGCCCATGCCTGACACAGTGCCCTGTTCGCACGGATGATACAAGATGCACGCCGGACAAAGTGCGCAGCAGGCCAGCGCCTGGCGCTTGCCGCGGCCCACCGACGGCTTTGGATTCCAAATCATCGATGCATGACATCGGAGGCACACATTTTGGAAAACGATACATCATTGGCATCCTGTCAGGCTTTGGAAAAGGGTGTTTTTCTAGTGTGATCTTTAAGCCAGAATGGTTGGGTTCCATTTGTTCTGCAATCCATTGAAAGTTAACTCAGAGAAAACAAGCACAGCTCACGTGCGTGTACAGTTATCACCATTTGCTCGGAACGATCAGCAGGTTAATGTTGATGCAAGCGATAACAATAGTGGATCCCGCCAATAACAAAGTAGCTTTAGTCGTGCTGCTGCAAAAGATATTATGTAATTCGTGTAATACCTCTCACCACTTCCTATAAGTGGTCACTAAGCAGTTCTCCGCCAGTGCTCAGACCTTTGCAGGTACACATTCGCTGGGGCTGGGCACGTTGGATGCTGCATAACCGCAACAGTAGTAGGATCATAAAGGTCCTTAAGCCCATCCATGACCATGCCCTTGAAAAACCTACCAGCGCTACGCTTCTGCTAACTCAAAAAACCGTTTCGTAAAGCACTGGAGTGGGCAGCCTGGTTTCGTGGTAGAATCTCTATGCTATGTGGTGCCGCTATGGTAACAACCTCTACACGGGGCCGCTGTGGGAGCTGCTGGGAATAAACTAGATGCTGAAGTAAAGGTAAGACAAGCGAGGATGAACCTGGGCAATACGAACACTCAAAAGCACGGCAACGAACCGTAGACTGCAAGGAAGCCAGCGGTGGTCTCCACCATGGAACTAGAATCGAATGAAAACCAAGGTAGAAAAAATAGGGAGACACAGGGACATACGAGAAAGAATGGAATTGTAGCCCAGTTGCTGAAGAAGCAAAACTAACCGACCAACTAACTTGAGGCACTTACGCAGAAGAAGACAACAAAGGGTTGCATGGTCTGACCATAAAAAGAGCAGGAAAAAGGGGACAGGCGCCATAGGAAATGCAGATGGCAGCGATGCATTGGCCAAAGTGAAGAGGAAGGAAAAAACGAATACACGAGAATGTGTAGCAAGTTTGATCAGTGGAAGAAACACTGGCCGGATCAAAGCAGCGGCAATGAAAGAGCTTATTTTTTGGCCAAATTGTATCGTTTATTACAGCAAAGAGTGATCAAACTGATGTTGGCTTTAAGAACACGGTCACAAGAAACAAAGCAAAGGTAGTGGACGTAGTGATTCATATTGGGGCGACTATGTGCTGAACCATAGAACAGACCATGTTCTGAAGAGCATAACCAGCGCCGTCAATTACGCGCAGCCCTTGAAAAACATCAAGCGAATCTTCAGTTGTTCGCTTGAAGAGAGAGAGGGCGCTGGCTTTGTTACTTACAAAACAGCAAAAACCGTAGGCAGTGAGCTCAGTCAGCTGTGTGCAGCCCATAGGATAGGACTCATAAATTTACGGCCAAGAACGATGTTTTGCGTTTTGGAGGCCTGACTTCAGGTATCGTATACACTTTGGAAGGCGCCAGAAGTACATCGCAGCAAATTATCAGCCAAGTGGCTGTTTTCTCTTAGATTTGATTTCAAGTTGATCTCTGGCTCCCATCATTTTCATAAGAACAAAGCACACGGCTCGAAGTATCCCAGAAATATAAATTTTCTTACGGCGACTTTGCACGATCACTAAGCAATCTGAACTTAGCTTAGGTTGTACAAGTATAAGGTAGACATGGAAATTATCACAGAAACCCATGTAGGCAAGACCGCCGACGATAACCAAATCTTTCAAGCCAGACGTAAAACATTACGAGGAGACAGAAATTTACTGGCTGTCAACAAAATTAAGGGTGGAGTAGTCGCCATACACATAACAAATAGCTTTCCATACACAGAGCCCAAAATTAAAGTTCCGGATAAGCTGGAAGTTTGCTGGGGCGTCATTCGACGTTTGCAGCCCGCAGCATCATAATAGCTGGGGTCTTCCTGCTGGTGCATCGATCTGTCGCCGACAATGTTACCTGACCAGTTTCAAGAGTTACTTGATCATCTTCAATCCTCAAGACTAAGAGGGAGGACTGTCTTGATAGGGAACTTGAACAAAGCATTTGAGGTAGAATTGTTGGCTCGTCAACTGTATCTCTTGCAATGATCTACGAAACTCACGAGAGGTTCAGCCGCACTGGACAAGATGTTGACTGATTTTAATTATCCAAGTGCACTACTAAACCCATCACCCATTGGTGTGGTGGACCACAAAACTGTAGTATGATTGACTGCGACACAAGTCGGGAAATTTCAAGGTTATTGCTCTGTACAGCCCTTTGAAGGATTCATTCATCATAAGTTTTGACAGATGGATTTGCTGCCAAGCCTGGCAGCAAATCTCTTTCTTATTTTGATTCTCCAAATGCACCACTAAACCTATCGCCCTTTGGCGTGACGGACCACAAAACTGTGGTATGGTTGCCTGCAACACAAACCAAAAAATGTCAAGGTTGTTGCTTTGTACGGCCTTTTGGAGGATTTATTTATTATAAGTTTTGGCGGATGGATTTTGTGCCAGGATTGACAGCAAATCTCTTTTTTTTCTCTCTCTCTCTCTCTCTCTCTCTCTCTCTCTCTCTCTCTCTCTCTCTCTCTCTCTCTCTCTCTCTCTCTCTCTCTCTCTCTCTCTCTCTCTCTCTCTCTCTCTCTCTCTCTCTCTCTCTCTCTCTCTCTCTCTCTCTCTCTCTCTCTCTCTCTCTCTCTCTCTCTCTCTCTCTCTCTCTCTCTCTCTCTCTCTCTCCTCTCTCTCTCTCTCTCTCTCTCTCTCTCTCTCTCTCTCTCTCTCTCTCTCTCTCTCTCTCTCTCTCTCTCTCTCTCTCTCTCTCTCTCCTCTTTCTACCTCCCGCTCTCCCCCCTCTCTCTCTCTTTTTCTCTCTCTTTTGTCTCTCTTTCTCTCTTCTCTCTCATCATTTCATCTGCCGCAGCAGGGGTGCCCTTGAATGAATTGACGCATTTGACGTACGGAATAGTTCTTAATGTCTTTCAGAACGGGTTCCGCCACTCGACGGCCTGTCTCCTTTGTCGTTCGACTGGGACTTTATCTTCTCAAACGATGATGTTCTCACTGGATAAATTGACATCATGTTGACCCTTGACCAGGTGTTACTGGTCCGGCATTACTCCGCTCACTGAACGAGTTGATTCTGCTGGGCCGTGACTAGCTTCTATCTGATATTTTTCCCACCGGGTAGTTAACCCAGTTGATTCATGGCCAGCTTTTGTCTGTTCCGGCAGGGCTCCTCTCACTGGATAGTTGACCCCGTTAATTCCTGACCGGTTTCCGTCTCCGGCAGGGTTCCTCTCATTGGACGAGTTCGCCGACGCCTGCTCCCTCCTACGGAACTACCTGTGCGAGCCGATCCCATACGACGAGATGGTCAACATGGCCAGAAGCATGGACATCAATAAGGACGGCTTCATCGACTTCAACGAGTTCCTGGAGACCTTTCGGCTGGTTGACATGGAGGGGAGTTATGCCGTGGAGGACGCGTGACATTGAAAGCCGACAACATCTGCCCGATATCGGTTGGTGGACCCGTGCAATATGTGCCGTCACATCAAGAGGAACCAAACCGAGATCTCTTGAATGCGTTATGCCGAAAAGCGCGCCGTATATCTACATAAATATACCACGTGCCGGTCCAACGTGCTGGTTACACGTGAGATGTATCGGTCTTGTCGAAGGTGAGAAGCTTCCTGAATGTGAGGAGTGCTGCTGATTGCTTTTATTCAGCAAATAATGCCGTTCCTCTTGGCCTCGGTCTGAATGAACTGTATTTTCTTATCAGCTCCCACTACGCCCGAAGCAGAGTCAGGCAGGATTGAGTGATCTATCGCCATCAACATTGCTGTGACCTGGGTGGCAACTTCGTACTGCGAGTATGTATTGCTTTGTGATGACTTGCCAAAGCGCGCAGTTGTTTGCTATTGTCGGTAGCCCATTGGATGGATTGAGGGTGACAAAGAATGACCGGAACGTTAGGATTGAGGGTGGAAGTTTTTGTTAGTACATCTAGCGTCTTGATATCCATGCGTTTACGGTCCCCGTACCTGCTTACCCGTGCTGTACACTTGTAGGGCGTCGTACACTCTGACCAATGTGTGACATGCATACGACAGACTTCGCGTTCTAGGAACCGCGTTCAAGGTTCCTGCCTCCGACAGCCAACTGGTGCCAGGTTCAGAAAACCAGGCTGACACAGGGCCGGCCATGCTGCGGAATTGTTTGCCATTGCACCATGACAAATGAACCCATCCTCAAGAAAGCACCGCCGGATTTTAAGAAGTGTCGTCAGCGAAACTGAGATGAAACGGGCTTAACCAGCATTCTGACAGCGAAAGCATGCCTGCAAAACATTCGGAATACGTCTTCTATCCATCTAAATAAGCGCGCTCGTTCAAAGTTTTGCAGCATTTTGACATCAGTTGTTTTGTTTTTGATCATTTCTACTCTAGAGTAAAACCTGTTGGAAGAATCTTTTGTTATCACTGCGTCCTATGTGTCGTCAGAGTGATGTCAATCCGGTACAAAGATCGGCCGAATTTTTGCAGGCCCTTTTCTTGTGTTTCGTCGCATTGCTTTTCGCACCCTTGACCACAGGTAACTGTGACAAAAAACCATGTATGTATTTTGCTAACTGTTCCTGACCTCTGGGAGCAAGAGGTAGAACTTCCAGCTATTAGTATGCATTAAATCATGAACATTCCGTGCATTTTTTCAGAATGTTGCGAACTCTGACGCTGTATTTCGTGCAGAAAGCTACAGGAGGGGAAATAGCCAATGTTAAAAGGGTTTACTTCGTCGACAGCACGGCCTGAAGTCACGCTGGATCAATGTGAAAATCATAGCATGCTCTCTTGTGAATATCTAACTTGGCGTACGGGTGATGTTGCTGTTCAATGGCAATGGTGTGAGGCATTTGATATGTGGTTTTTAATCATTCATCCGTGAATGAGATGCAATATATGCGTAATTAGGCCAAATAATCAGAAGCCATACTAGTTAAATTAAAATCCACCAATTGCCGGAACTGTGTGAAAGGAAAGCTGCAAAAGCGATGGCTTGCGTGTTTCATTAGCTTCCACATGTGTGGTTACCACGCGTTGAGAATGTTTCACGTTTTCCATCCTGTTGATGTCATCCTTGGATGCTTTGCCTTGTGCCTGCGGTCCGCCTGCGGTGGACGACGCTCCACGCCCAACTGCTGTTGATGTTAATACACTTGATTGTGCGTGTTGAACCATGCATGTCATGGAATACTACGCCGCAAGGTCCCTTTATTCGGCACATGAAAATGTTTTGCGCCGTCCCGCTTAATCTTGATAACAGTCGATGGTAAATCATCACGCGCCCGGGTGGCCGGTTGAATATCCTCTGCTCGGGTGGGGTTCAATTTGACCCCCCCCCCCCCCCCGAGAACTCAGGAACCAAGAAAGCTAAAAACACCAAATTCACAGGGTGTATTTCTCTGTACGCAACCTCACTCAGGTCGAAGTTTGAGGTCCCTAGGTCATGACCTTTGGGCCAAAAAAGGTAAAACAAGGTCAAATTCCAGATTAGTCGCCAAAGGGTCCCTAGCTCTAGAACCTAGATAACTGTCGTAAGCAAAGGGCCAAATGCTCATTAAAGGCCACTGACCTTGTTTGACCTTTTGAAAGTCATAGTGACCTAAATTATACGAGGCTGGTTTGAGTTTGGCAATTGAATAAGTGACAAAGATTACGCTAGGCAGTATGTTCCTATAAACAAAATGTTGGCCTGGCTCAGTTTAGATCAGTGACCTATTCTGACCTTTAAAAAGTCCATGGAAGGTGCATAATGCGGCTCTTATTATCAACCAATTCGAAATGGGTGTCAGAATCTAGCCCATATAACAATCCCTAGAGTAATCAAGCACGTTGGTTTTGACCTTAGTCTGACCTTCATACCTGATCCTATATCAATTGCATTTTTTGCATTCAAATTTGGTGTTGCGTAAGAAAGTATCGCAGATATGTATGGCTCCGTCTAACACCCCGTTGTTGGATCAGAATGCACGATTCCCTGGACAACGACTTCGCTGAATCCATACCTTGACTTTGACCCGCTATAGGTCAGTGACCTCGCAAGGTACATCTCAATTTTTGATGCGAGACGATTTGCTATTCAGTTGCCTACAGCTATGCAAAATTTGGTGCGCTTATGCCGCTGATCGGAAACCATTCCGGAAAAAACCCTTGGGGGTAAATTTGACCCTACCCGAGCGCGCGTTATATCTAAATTGGCAGGACTTTTGTGGACAAAAGCAAACAAGCGCTCGCGTGGGGGTCAGTCTGGACCACCCATCGGGGGTCTTTCCAGGATAACTTCCGAACGATGGGAGGAAGTCGCACCAAACATTGCATAGTTGTGGGCGTAGCGGCATGTTAAACAGAGGATCTTTTAATATTTTTTAATTCGATGCAATTTGCAAGGTCGCTGACCAATACCATGTCAGGGTCAGGACATGGTTGTAAGAGAAAACAGCCCCGAGAAAATCGCTCAATCCGATGCGACAACGGGGTGCCAGACGAAATATGACAGCTTTAGAATGTTACAAGACAATTTACACATTGGATTATCACATTTTTAGGATCACGACAAATTCCATCTACTTTGGGTCAGATCTGGAGGTCAGGTCAAGCTCCCTACCAAACTGGTCTGTTATTGGAAACTTGTTTATGACGTAGTTTTTACACTCACCTAGAATTCCTTGATCAATTGAGCACTGGCCCCAGCTGGGACTCGGCCTGGGATATCGGCGCGGCAGGGCAGGCACTGGGTTCCAGATGGAGCCCTGCCTGGCCCCATCTGGAGGAAACGCTGGCTACCAGCTGGGCAAATGCCCGTGGCAGAGATCGGCCCAGCAGCAAACCTGCGCAGTAGAGCGGGGTGCATGATCGGCCCGACATGGGCCCAAGCTGGGCTCTGACACGGCAACAGCTGGGCTTTGGCAGAGGCCCAGATGGGCCCTGACTGCGCGAAGCCGGGCTGCCCAGGTGGGCTGACCCCGGCTCAGGTGCACTTGTTTTGTACACGCCACCTAGAGCTAGTAACCCACGCAATGCGATGTGAATATACCGACTTAACATTTTTAATGTCGGGCCAGGCCAAAACTGTTTTGCAGTTGAGGTTTTGGGACCTCACCTAACCAGGCCGAAGCATTAGTCGTCTGAAGTGAGAATTTATGGGTTTGAGCCTCTGGCATTGTCCTGCTTCAGTTTGGACTCCGTCATCAACATGCTTAGAATGTTGTTTTCAGATTGCGTTTCACGAATTTGACCGGTCGTTTTTAGTGTATTCCATGGTAGTTAACCTGATATTGTGTCTCCCTACCCCTAGAATGAAATTCGACAACACCCGTTCAGGAATATCCCTCATGGCGTTTGGGTTAGTATATGCTAACAACGCCATCGCTTGGTTGGGCTACAGGGACCTGGCTGATCTTGCAACCAGGTTTCCAACTGTCTGTTTCTACTAAATGGGGCCTCCGAATCGACATGAATTCACAACTGCGTGATTTCGGCCACACAAGAAATGTCATTAAGTATCTTAGTACTCTCAATGTGACCCTTGCCCCAGTCCGCGTTAAGAGCATTGACAAACTGCGGCCGAGACCGCGTGTCCGAAAGGAGACCAAAATGGGCGTCTGACCTAGCCCATGATATCATTACTTGTAAAGGATGCGAAGTATTTGCATTGAAATATCGTATTAACTCCTCTGGTTAAACGGCATTCATGTTAGTAATGTTCGGGAAATTTTCAGACATACATGAGATTTGGAAAGGAGATAACGTTAGGTTATGAACGGGGTAATGACCCATGGCCTGCCACTGGTTGATGACTGTGACGCATGGCTTCAATGTTCTTCAACTTTAAATCAAGCTTAATGCCAACCAAGGTGTGGGATTGGGGTTAAGTGGACAGTACGATGGGCGGGGAGTGTTCGCACGGCAGTACTCAATATCATCCTGTATCATCCCATATCATCAAAAGACCCTGTGATCTAATAGCCACTTGTACAGTGGATCATCCACAGTTCCCTTTTCACAGGACAGTTTTGTCCGTGACTAAACAGGGTATTAGAGGTATCCAGCTCGATGAAGATCTACTATCTTGACGCATCAGACTCCACATGTTGCAGGGTTTGCTAGTACGGTCTCATGTCAATGGCGGGGGTGGGGAGCCGCGCAGTCCCACCAAATGGGCGAGCTGTCTCTCCCCGGTCCCTGAGGCTATCTGAAGTTGGTAGTGTTGATCCTTTTATGGTTGCCGTCGTAGGTGCCGGGCTCTTTTAAATTCTGCTGAATATCATTAATCAGCAGCCTATGACTGGGAATGTCTACTCTGTGCTGGACTGCTCTCCTGATCTATCCCGACAACCGAGTACCGCCTTTACTTTCGCCTGGTCATTTTCGGCAAACTGGCGTGGTCGAGCTGACCAAAATCAATGGAAACACGTTTCAGGCTATCTTCAGAATTTACGATTTAGCAGCTTTACCAAACACCGACAGGCGAAATAAGCTACTGTCACAATGCCATCATAATTAAAGGAAATATGGTCACATAAGCACCGGCCCTATTCTGAGATGCACCGGCCCTTGCAGCTGTCTTTGCTGTAATACCAACAGCCCAGGGTAGACATATGTGAAGTGTTCCACATGTTTCAGGGAGGCATGTCTCTGCCGATGGACGGGTTACTGACAAGACACGACCTGGAAGTGACGAGAGGACACCAATATAAGCTGAGAAACGCTCAAACTAACACCACCGTCCGTCGAAACTCGTTCAGCTTCCGGTCGTAAATGATTCGAACGCTCTCCCACCGGCAGTAGTATCGTCATCCGCAGTTGAGCAGTTGAAAACTAATCTCAATTCGCGCTGAACTGGCGCCATAAAGGCACCATAAAGCCAGGGACTGGTACCACAACGTCCCACACCGATCTCACCGCTAAAATGAGATCGTTGAGTTAGCTGAACGGGAATTCGAAAAGGCCGGGATCGACATGCTGCGTGGCCTTTTAATTCCCGATCACTGCTGGGTAATGTAAGTTAAGTAATAGTTGAGAACTATTTTATCAAAGTTGGAACTACTGACGGAAACCCAATGCTTTTTTGTTGTTTTTTTTTTTGCTGACGTTTATTTTCGATTATGGACATAACACAGCATAAGGTGATGTGATCAGTGGATTGGTGCATGAGCGGATCGCCTAGATCTGAGTGCCTCTCATAGCATTAGCAAAATAAAGCCATCGCCACCATTGAGCCTACAACCCACCGCCCACCGTGAGCCCATCCGATCTGCGGGCTGAGACCAGGCAGGCGTCCGCCGCCGCCCGGCTTACACATATAGCTGTCCTCGGCCGGCGGCGGACGCTCGGTCTGGCAACGCCACCCATTAACCCGTCTGAGCCCCCGTCCGCTGGAAGTTTTCCAGCGAATGGTTTGGTTTGAAAACGAAATGCTTGGAAAATGTTGCTATCTGCGGCCCGTTGCAGGTTTGTAAACCGTTACCTCTGAGATAGATACTGAGTTGCTCGTTGTAAGTGGGCTCAGAAAAGTTTGGAATGATGCAATCTGTTTTACGCAGCATTGAGATTTTGACTTCATTGTAGCGAGGACAGTTCAATACAAAGCGTTCAGGGTCTTCATATGGATAAGCACACAAGCAATAGGAACTAGGTGTAGTCTGATTTTGAACTTGGAACGTATGAGATTTAAGATCTGATATTCCCAAACCCAGCCCAGTATTTATGATGCCGACATGTCTAGATCCAAAGCCGTGACGCATTGGAGACGCAGCCACGTCGCCGCGCTGGGGTATTTCGAGTTTGAAGGAAAGAGTAGACTGAGGAGATGACACATCATACGGGAGTTGGTTCCATCTTTTCGTGGTTGATGGAATGTAGTAGTATAGTGAGTGATATTGCATTGTGTCGCGGACGTCTTGTTGCAAGTGCCCGTTTGTCGGGTAAAATGTCGGTGCAATAGCGTTTGTTGGCAGTTGATGGCATGTTATTCTGACCGTATTCCTGATGTGGCGAAATGCATGATGGAGGACTTACCTTGCGGAACAAGCGTTCGTGTCTGGCTCGTCGAAGAGGGCCATTCGACTGCTGATTGGGCAGCGTCAGCCTGATCACGGGGCGCTGAGAGTCGTGCATTTGCACAGCACGGTTAACATCCCTTCGCACTATTTCGACAAGGACCCGGGACAGAATGGGTCCGCTAAACCTTCATTACAATGATGGGATGTTGGTTCGTAGCGATAGCATTTCAGCGAGGAATCCGCTTCAAAATCTGTCCCTGCGGAATTCTAAGTTGCTGTATCTCATGTGTGTTGTACACCCATTCTGTTACCCGACTTTATTTCCTAGTAAGACCACACAATAAAGCCGGGTTTCAAGTAAAAAACAATGCAAGGTTCGTGGCCTTCCATGGGCAGCAGAAAAAAGGCGCTTGGAACAAAGTATCCACAAGGCAAGTGAATCATTGGCGTCAGTATCATGTTTGAGTTGCGGGAATAAGCGACTGGAGTTATGTTCGCCAGGTAAAAAAAAAACACGTCCTTTGTAACAGGGTTTGACCCTTTTTATCTAAAGTTACCCACCATTTGAGGAAATAATTTGAGGGTGCGGGCATCAAATTGCCCCGCTACATCCTTCCTGTTGACGCCACTATGCAGTAAGACCAAAGAAGATAGTTTGTGTGTGATAGTCATCTTTTACACTTTTTTAAACACCTTTTGTAGTATTCCAGCCAAAAACATTGGGGGCCAAGCCAACATTGCGCGCCCAGCGCAGCATTGTGAGGCTGGGGTCCTCACAAAAGAATACAACTTGACACCCGTGTTAAACACTTCGTGATATAGCGAGTGATAATGTGTGTGTGTGCGTGTGTGTGTGTCAATGTGATATGCCATATTTGTGATATAGCAAGCGTTAGCGAGTGCAGACTAATACTAAGCTTTGAATTTCGCCTAGCTGCAATGGTCTGTTGCAGTCTGCTTTCATGTTCGCAATTTTGTCACCAAATAGCTCGCAAAGTGTCCATTTTTTGGTAATTGATCATATCCTGTAAATCGGTACCACTTGTGCACTCATGCACACAATACTCGCACTGCCGCTCGCACGGAAGTCAATAAGGTACGACCGCTGGTAAATGCTGTGCGGAAATTTGCAAACGTCTTGGCATCCGGCCCGATCCCGGCCTGATCCCATTCACAGTCCGCGTTCTGTCAAGTTCGCGGTAAAAAGCTTTCTACGGGCCCAGCTGGGCACAAGCTGGGTTCTACTTTAGCATTATCTTAGTTTAATCCGTTTTATACCAGAAACTGAAACTTAAGCTCAAAAGCTTCTAAGTGCGGTTTTGGCCCATAACCGGCGGCTAACTCCCCCCCCCCTCCCAAAAAAGGCGGTGTGTCACCGTCAATGCCCTCCAAGCTTCCCAGGCCCCTCCCCCCCCCCCCAAACGCGACGTTCTTGCATGCGCCCCTGATTACGTACACGAACTCACATGACAATGGGACTGTGCTTTGTAAGTGGTCTACGAACGCATTCATCCTGCCTTTGACCACCTTTTAGAAGGTTGACTGGACGGTAACCGGAAAAAAATCCAGTCAAGTCATCAAGCCACCAAGTCAAGGCATAAAGTCAAGGCATGAAGTCTTGAATTTGACTAAGGCTTCTACACTGAATGTGTCTATTTACAGAATCCATGGAAAACGACGTAACTAATCGCATCTCAATATGTACCCACACAATTGCGAAAGCTTATAACCTTACCGAACAGCTTGATCAAAGGGCGCAAAGCTACACAGTAACCAATTACCAGCCGAATACTTTAACTAGTAGCTGTTGCTTTTCACGGCTTAAACCTGTTCAGACAGAATAATGGCCGCCTCCAAGATGACGTTCACAAATTTAGCAGGTACCTTATGTCTAAGTGTTTTTTGTTTATTTCACTGGTCCTAGTGACTCATCAAATGAAGTTAACTTTGCCTTCCCATAGCCCAAAATGATCGAGAACCGTGAGATACGTATTCTCCAAATTAAGGAAGTAGGGCACCTACATCTCTGGGTAGTATGAAAAGAGAATGGTGATGTGTGGTCGTTGTTGTTGTGTGCGTTCCCTTGTCTTCTTCCCACCAAAGCTTAGGAGACCCATTAGGTAGCCTCGCTCAGGAAGTTCCTCTGCGAGGAGGCTCCATTTTGTCTAGAGGGCCCAAGACCACCTGAAAAGTCCTTCCCCAGCTGAAAAACCGTGGCACCGCTCGTTGGAGAAGTGTTCTTTTGTGGCCGTGGTTTCTATGGTTGAAGGGATCTGAAGCAGATGAGCTAAAAGGCATCACATCATGAAAAATCAACGCCTGAGCTAAGACATTCACCATCAAGCAAGAGGGCCCTTTCTCGAGCCAAAGCTGGGACCCGTCCTACGCTCCTTTCGCGCAGTCACACAGCCGATAAATGGCTGATTCCAACTGGCTGAATGGAATGGCCTGCATTCCCTCTTTCCCCGCGAACAGCTGACCAGGCGCCGTCGATGTGTTTTGAAACTCTGTGGAAGCCAGTGAGCCGATTTGTATACCCTGCTTTGCCGTTGCTCATTTTACCTGTATCCCCTTGACTTTTTTAGTTGACTTGTTTATTTTCTATTTTGTCAGTTTTGTACTTTAAGCTATTTTAATTTTTCCGTTTGGCTTTATGCCTCTTGCCTCCTATGGCTTTGACTTTCATTAGGTGTGACCCTTTAGCTGTTTTACTTTTTACATATGAGTTTTATCCTCTGGGCTTTTTGCCATTTGATTTGTTGTCAGTTCAACTTTGCACTCTTTTCCTTTTGCATTTTACTTTTTTCTGTTTGACTGTTTGCCCCCAGCCTTTTTGTCATTTGACTTTTTATGTGTTTGACTTCATGCCTTGTAACCTAGTTGGCCAAGTTTTCCTCACGAATGTCAAGTCATGATTAAAAAAACAGCTTCTAAATTTAGGAGGTGTCTTACGTTGGTGTTTTCAGCAGGATGGTACAAGCCTAAGCGATTGCAAAATATTTTAAAAATCAAGAATGTGATTTGCAAGTGACCCAGTTTGTTGCGATGCTGCATACCGACTTCTTGACGTCATACATAGCTGACTTATGTTTTGCTATTACCAACCTCTTTTGCAATAACTGACTCAAATGCGCCGCATTCGCTTGTAATTTTAGTTACGAATTTTGCGTGATTGCCAGTCCGTGGGAATTACTGTGGGTCGGATTGTTACCGAGGGGCAGTTCTACAATTCAGGGCCTTTTCTACAAGAAGCCAAGTTAGACAGGACTGGCTTCACCGTATTCGTAACATCGGGAATTTTTTAGGTGTAGACTTCCTTTCCATACCTGTGATACGCTTTTGAATTGTTCCTTAATGTGATCTACCGTTCGCTTTTTCAAGACCGCAAATTTTCCAAGGAATGATTGCTCACCTTATGCTCTTGTAACGTGAACAGGAGCTTGGTCTGGCAAAACACAGCTTTTCGATTTCGATACTGCTGGCTACATCCAGAATTTCCAGGGCCTATCATTGGATTGTGCACGTCAGCAGATTCAACAATGACTGAATATAAGCTGGTTGTTGTTGGAGGTAAGATATTCCAAACCTGTGGCCTGAGTTATCAGAGCTTCATGCAGACTTTGTTGGTGGAAAAGTTGTGTTGTGGCTATGGCATCAATGAAGGTTATTAAAAGTGTGGTTATTGCATTACTGAAGTTTAAGCCTGTAGGTGGCTTTAACTAGAATATGTTAACACTATCCTGTGAAAAGTTTGTTAAAGGGGCTGCTCCACATTTGTATGGGGTTTTAATTTGAGATAAACATCTTGAAAGTCATATGGTGCAGGTAACAGTTCTAAGTTCTCATGACCTTTATTTTCTAGTTTCTGAGCTACCTGCATATTAATATGGGTAGGCCATTTCAGTGAGACTATTTCAAGGTCAACTAAGTATTTATGATGTCATAACATCATTCAAATTCTGTCATTTTGTTTGCCATCTTGCAATCAAGGTACTGAGTATTGAGAAAATATATTGAGGTTTTCATATCTTTGGTGGTTGGGAGCATGATTTCCTGGTATAATGGCTGTCAGTTGGCTTTTAATCAATGTTGTGCAAGTTATAGTGGAACAACAAGAAAGTGACATGTTTTGTAGTATATTTATTAACATCTAAGTTGTATTTTGTAGAGCAGCCTGTTTCACTTTAAAGTAGAAATTTGTATAAACTAAAAGGGTGCAGATGGTTATAAGTGAGCTTAATTTATCATATTTAATGTTATCAGATGTGAAATATTCCCTTTAGATATTCACACTAGTTGGAAAATAGGGTTAGGTATTGATATGATCTTTTGTGAGGATGATCATGAGAATCATATTTGAACAAGCTTAGAACATAAGATGTGGAAAGTCTCAGCTGACCATATTAATGTTTAGTGATATTCTGTGGAAATGTGATTATGAATATGTCGAGAGACCCCTCACCAGAACAGGTCATCTATTGGTCTAATGGACACCTGGTCTTTTTCAGCTGGAGGTGTGGGGAAGAGTGCACTCACAATTCAGCTCATTCAAAACCAGTGAGGACTTTTGATTGCATGATGATTGTAATCATTGCACTGATTGCATTGATCGTTTTTAAGTGCCAGGGTTACCTTGACATTTAAAATGAGCATGATATTGTCCCTTTTTTAACACAGCTATGCAGCAGTGTTTTAATGCACACTTCCTATCAGAGCATTAATGCTTATTCCACTGCAGTTTTGGATTGCACATAACTCCTTTGAAGATAGATGGTGGATCATTAGCATTGCATCACAACAGTGTACATCATTACAGAACTGATGTAGGCTGCTGCTGTGCCATCCTGCTGACCATCAAACTAACTTTTTTAGTATGGGTGGTCATTCCCAGGATACCTACTCTCTGTCAGTAGATGCGCCTTTTATTTACTGCTAGATGCACCTTTTATTAGCTGCTAGATGCAGATATGTTAGATGTTACTAATTGTTGTGCCTTGATTATGGGGTTGAGTTATCATGTTCACTTAGTGCAGCAACATTAAAATTGTCTCCACATAGCTTACAGGTACACTCTAGTAACACAAATAATCACCTTCAGTAAACTGCAATGACACTTTGCTCTTGATCGTAGTCAGAAATGTGTGTGGATCCCAGCTGTGACTGCTGTATTGACTAAGAAGCTTGTGGTTCTAAATGGTAGTTGTTTTGTTTTCAGATCCATCTTTGAGATAGCAGACAATGTCTACATGCACCCACCACCATCTATGTGAATTTTTCAAACAAAGCAACACATGTGTATCCTGAAATGCTTACCCCTCCATCAAGCTGCAGTTTTTTTGGATAGTGCATAAACAAGGGTGCACTGCACTTCTATACATGCCTGTCACCTGTGGAATGACCTATGTGACATGTCTATTTCAGCTTTGTGGATGAGTATGATCCAACAATTGAGGACTCTTACCGAAAGCAAGTGGTTATTGATGGAGAGACGTGCCTGCTGGATATACTTGACACTGCTGGACAAGAGGAATACAGGTGAGGACACTGCACAGCAGAGAAAGCATAGGTAAGGGCACTCCTGGACAGAGTGGGTACTGATAAAAATGTGTCAGCACAGACTCATCAGTAACCATTACACCCATACCACAGAGGAACAGCATGCAAGGGCACTGTCAGGTGAGAGGATTTCATGTGAGAACTGTTCCAGACAGAATGCAGAAAGAAGGGGGCAGGCAGAGGATTTTGATGAGCAGGTAAGTAGAACTGTCAGTGAACAGCATGAGGATTACAGGTGTTATCCCACTCAGTCCTAGGGGCATAGCTGTTGACTGAGGCAGGGCAGGATGAGAGCTGTTTGGAACATGGATCTGTGGTTGATGCAGATGATTTAGGAAAACATGAGTGGTCAGTAGACCAGAACAGTTTTATGCTGTTCTGGTTTACATCATTTTTTCACAAGTTCACATCACAGCAGTTTTGAAGTGATAAGCCATGGAGATAAATGTGGGGCAGAACAGGTCGGATCGAGCATAAATACCTGTACATTCAGTTAAGTCTCAATGCTGATACACAGCCAGTCTGAACAGGAGATGTAAGGATAAATTCCCACTGTGGCAGGCCTGATGAGATGGAAGGTTCTCTTGCAGGGATTTGTGTTCCAGCATATGGCCTATTCTGTTGTAGTTATAAAGAACAGGAATGGGGCGCAAACTTGTTTTCACCCATCACAACATTACATTTACTTCTATGCCTGTTGCATCCATCTGTCTCTGATGTTTGTGTGTTCTGTGCTTCTTTGTCACCTTTTCCCATTGTCTTCATTTATCTTTTTATGTGACCTTTCCACCATGCATCTCCTCCTCCCTGCTCCTCTTTTCTCATTTCCTGGACCACTTTCGCCGCGTCCCTCTCGCCAAGTGAGACGCTCTCCGTCAACTCCACCGCCATTTTACAGCATCGTGGGACTGTTACTGACCTACAGACCCGCCTGCCCATAGTGCCATGCGAGACCAGTACATGCGGACTGGAGAGGGCTTCCTGCTGGTGTTTGCCGTCAACAACGCCAAGTCCTTCGAGGACATCAGCAGCTATCGAGAGCAAATCAAGCGGGTCAAAGATGCCGACATTGTCCCTATGATCTGTGAGTAGGGGGAAATGAAGTGCATCGCGTACATGGTACGAGACTGGGATGTTTGTTTTGTGAAATGCATGCAGATTGCAGTAGAAACGTTCTTGGCTTGGATGTTTGAACCAAACGCGGGGCCAAGGTTAGTTTTATTTTGCGCATCAGATGGTGTGCTGGTCCATGCATACTGGTCTGCTGGTGATACTGGTCCACAGGTGTTATGACCAGTAGAACATTTCTATTTTTGCACTAAATCTTCCATTTTCCGAGCTGATGTTGATCAGGTTGTTTGCGAGCACCATTGGTTATGGAAAGTGGAGTGCAGATGTCTTTTGACACATCGTGGACCATGCTGAAGATTGCTGACGTGATTTCTTTTACGAGGCTTCTTTGTTGCAGTGCATGCAGTGAAACAGCTAATGCATACTATGTTCAGTTAGTTCCATGTATTCCTTTTTCACGTGTTATTATCATTGAAGACTTATTTGCAAGCTGGTATAATATATGCTGTCAGTTTGAAGCATTAGCTGGAGGATATTTCTGTACTGATGATCTTAATCATATCTGTTTTTGGCGAAAGCCAGGTGCGCTTCAACTGGTAATGCTGCTCAAAATTAAGGGCATCTCGCTTTGTATTCATGCATCAACTGAAAATCTGAAGCTGCTGCTTACGTTTTCGTGCCTTGAAAACTTATGCAAAACGACTATATGCCTCATAATACCTATACCTATAGTGAGACCTAATTTGCATCCTTCCCTTCATCATTCTAACATGTTTTGATGTCATGGCCTGTCTTGCATGACGATAATAGTTACCCTGCGAGGTAACGCGCCGAGTACCACCAAACACGCGCTATACACCCATTTAAAGTCAGTGAATTTGACCTGTAGTCTCGGACATTGTACAGAAACGGCCTTGCGTGCCATATGGGAGGAAGCCATCACTGACCGTCACTGAGTTTTGTGTGACATTCCTCACGTGACCTGCCTTATCCCAAGCCACGTCATGCGCCTGGCCGCATCCTTCCCGAAGTCCACGTGCTGTGTTCTGCCGGCCGGAGAGCTGTGCTGGCCCTCCCGTTTGCGGTCAGACTGCTCCCGGCTGCAGCGGCGGCCGCCTTCCTTCGGACGCACCCAACCAGTCAATCCTGTGAGTCGCCAGATCCCTGGAGCCGAAGCCCGTCCGGGCCGTCGGCCGACGCCCGGTCGCCTCGTCCTCGTCCAAAAACGCGCGCCGGCCAAATGGCTAGGCGGTGTGCGGACGGGCCGCAAGGTGTGGTAGGTTGCAGGACCGAGCTGTAGCGCACTTCACGCCGTCGTTGTAGTCACGTCCCAAAGACGTAGGAATCACGAGATGGATCACGAGTGCCAGAGCTGGAGGCAATCACCGCCTGCGCAGTAATGCCACCGGAACGGACATTATGATGTGGAAGATGTGAAAACTCCTGCCTTACCAGTGATGCTGTGAGGGTAGGGGGGCGGGGAAGTGCCGTTTAAAACGATTGCAGAGAACACGTTGCCCAGCGCATGCGTCTTAGTAGCTACACAAATGTTTCGTACAAAGTACTTCGTACCGTTATGTGCCTGCCGGAGTACGCCTCGCGCCGTACCGTACTGCACCTTGCACCGTGGCTTACAACGTAACTCAGAACCGCACTGGCCATTAATAGCCGAGCATGTTGAGGAAACGCTAGCAGTACGTTCTCAGTAGTGCGGGGATGCTAACCGGCCGCGTACATCCATCAGTGAAAGCCAGTGTCGGAATCAGACAAAATGACAGTGAACAACCTATCATCATCAGCTGCCTTGTGCACGATTTATTGAAATCGCTGTAAGAAACGATGAAGCGTCGAATGACTTCTCGCGAACGGTCCAGACGACTGGAAGCAACTGGTGGCCCTGCAGTGCACGGCGTTGTATTCTTTCTTCACATTTTTTCCCGTGGCTGGTAGGTATATTGTGTGCAACATAATCCCGTTAAATGTGGATATTTTTACAGCACTCGAACGGATTTCGGGCACTGAATTTAAACGTGACGCGAGTTTGGGTGAGAAACCAAATATAACACTGAATATCTACGCAAAGGTTGTTGGCACACCTGTCAGAAAACGTACGCGTTTGACGAGTGTAACTTAAGGCTGCACGTATTATTGAAGCGCTGTTTGTTAGGACGAGACTGCTTATTTGAGTCCCTAGTCTTCACACTTTAAAAGCTATCTGAGTCTACGCGCAGTCGATTTATCGCCACCACATTCCCTCTTTGATTAACTCGCATACCTTAATGTTCCTCATTTGGTGCTCCACACGCGTGGATAAAAGCCTCAGGGCCTCGTGATGCGAACGTACGGAAATGGTCGTGATGCGCGTATCTGTAGTTCCAGTAGCTCACGCGCACCGTTAGCTCAGTCGCGGTGCTCAGTTGTATGGCAAGCGCTGTTCTGTCTCGGTTTGTGTATCGGTGGGTCGTCGGCCGGAAATAGTGCAAGAGAATGCTCCTGCTTAGAACAGTGGCATTTCCCAAGTGCTGGTGAACCAGGCGACAAATGAACAGCCGCCCCATGAAACGGACATTAACGCCACAGTCCGCGCGTGGGGGGCGGCAATCAAACACTGCCGTGATCGTTCCTGTAGCGGATTTGTCAACCGCGCTGGTGTTCGCCTGCCCGCCCAGCTGACATCCGCCGCCTGGCGGGCGCTCCCGAACAGTTGTGTGTCGCTGCTCGTGACACGCTGTCCAGCCGCGTGGCGTGCTGGATGCCGTTGACGCCGCCCCTGCCCCCGCTCCCCGTGTCGGCAGTGGTCGGCAACAAGTGTGACCTGACGACGCGTGCTGTCGACATGACCGAGGCCAAGGACGTGGCCAAGAACTACGGCATCCCCTTCGTCGAGACGTCGGCCAAGACGCGTATGGGTGTGGACGACGCCTTCTACACGCTCGTGAGGGAGATCAAGCGTGACGTGAGTGCCTTACGAGTTCGCAGCGGCCCCTGTGGACGGACGCTCCCGGAGTTTGGTGCTTCCTGAAGCTGCTAATGGTCCCGTATGTCTATATCTAGTATATATATATATATATATATATATATATATATATATATATATATATATATATATGTATGTATATGTATATATATATATATATAGCCATACGCGCTGCAACACACAACTCTCTCTCTCTCTCTCTCTCTCTCTCTCTCTCTCTCTCTCTCTCTCTCTCTCTCTCTCTCTCTCTCTCTCTCTCTCTCTCTCTCTCTCTCTCTCTCTCTCTCTCTCTCTCTCTCTCTCTCTCTCTCTCTCTCTCTCTCTCTCTGTCTGTCTCTGTCTCTGGTCTCTGGTCTCTGGTCTCTGGTCTCTGGTCTCTGGTCTCTGGTCTCTGGTTCTCTGGTCTCTGGTCTCTGGTCTCTGGTCTCTGGTCTCTGGTCTCTGTCTCTCTCTCTGTCTCTCTCTCTCTCTCTCTCTCTCTCTCGGGTTATCCTAAATATACATAGAAATAAATTAACATAAATGTATATATGTAAGCCATCCCGTTATTTCCTGTAGCAGGCATACAGTGGCCGCTCGCCTTTGTTGTTACCCTTCATCTCAGGTGTCAGTTTCATCCCCGTGCGATGCACCCGCTTCTCCACCAAAGTTGTCACCAGCCCGTCTGTCTGTTCACGCCGCAGAAGGAACGCCGCGGCCGGGAGAAGGGCAAGGACGGCCACGCTGGCGAGAAGAAGTGGTGCTGCCCGCTCTAGGGCCGCCGCCAGAGCCGCGCCGCCCGCGCGAGGCGACGCCGTCACCGGCACCGGTGGTCGAGCGGAGAGTCGGAGGGCGTCACGCATCGGGCGCCGGCGCTGGGACGCCGCCCGGCTGCGGGCCCAGGCGGTGGACTGCTCGCTGTCGCTGGACGGGTGTCGTGCGCGATGATGCTGGTGATTTCATGTGATCTTCTGCCGATGCCGGGCGTTGGCCGGCCTGGCCGCGCTTGGTCTGTGGTCTGCGGGCCTCAATTACGTGCGAGCGTGTGACGGTAGCTGCTAGTTTTGCGTTTAGTTTAGCAGCTGTGGAGTGGCATGGTGCTTGTGGCTCTCCAGGGGCCCAGCGGTGCGTTCAATCATCGGGCAATATGCGGGGCTGGCTGACCTCTCTGCGAGTCCAGCCAGCCTGGCTGTCGGCGTTGCGTTGCTGAGATCTTGCTGGTCTGTGTGGCACCTGGTGGGGCCCGCGTCTGTGCGACCGTCGGTTTTCTGTCCGGGCGGCGCGCGTCCCGTGGTACTAAACCGGCGCCCCGTCGATGGACTGGATTCGCTAGTCGTTGCCACTGCACAACGATGTTTTCGGCTGCGCTTGGGGTCCGCCGTTGCCCCGTCTCGTGAGGTCGTTGCCGGACAGCTCCGTCCACCGCGCCACTCGCGCCCCGTCTCGGCGCGGGGCTCCCTGCGCTCGCCTCGGGCGGATCTCCGTCCCGCACCTGGTGCTAACGTCCGAGGTCGAATACATGCCTGTCGAAGGGACGCGCGTGTGCCCGTCGGTCCGGCGCAGCGGGGCGCCGAGAGGCCAGGGTATGGCGATTTTGTTCAAGGCAACTAGACAGGATGCGTTCTATCGCACGAGCTCTCTGAATTTGATGCAAACAGGACGATGATGATGTTATTTTACATTTTAAGTCGGATTTATTGCGTTGTTGCGGGTACATCCGGCGCAAGATATTTTTTTTTAACGGAACCCTCCCTTGGCGGTGGCTGCACCGTGATAAGTGCCCACAACGCACTGCTTAAATACCGAACAGTTTGTGTAAGCGTAGCACAAATATCCCTTCTTGGGCGCACACAGCCACCTGTTCTAGAAACTATGGTATAGCTGCAGGTGATCCACTGTGGCTAATCTGGCTTATCTGATCTCACCCGCCGCCTGCTGGAATGCTCCGTCTCTGAGAGTACTGGTACACGATCCGACAATCGCTTTACGTGCAAGCTGAGCACAACGGCGGTCTTAACGCGCGTGATCGGTTCCAATAGCTTCCGTCTCGGCCGTTCGGCAGAGGCGTGGCTAAGAGCGTGGCAAGGGCCGCGACTGCGACTATTGCGTCTGATATGGTGAAAATGAAAACAAAATTGCCGTCCGTTCCTTTGTGTAAATCCAGACTGGAAACATCGGATGCGTCGTATTGATGTCTTCTCCGAGGCCGGTTCGGGGCTCTCCGGTTTCGAAGGGTATGTCATCTAATGGGAAGCGACAACAGGCCAGGTCATTTACTAGTTTTGCTAGTTTGCGCAGCTGCATGTATGATCGGCATATCACACAAAATCACATATAGGATTTTGAAGGTATGATGCGGTCTGCATAGCAGTCCACAGCAAACAGCGTACAGCACGCATCATTTATGGCGATATTTGAAAGTTGGCAATCTTAGCACGTGCCCGGGTGACCAGTTGAACACCCTTCGCTCGGGTGGGGGTCAATTTGACCCCCTGAGATCTCAGATACTGAGAGAGCTGGAGACGCCAAATTCGTAGGGTGTGTTGGCTTGTATACGAACACACTTGTGTTAAAAGTTGAAGTTCGTAGAGTCATGACCTTTGGGTCAAGTAAGGTCACACAAGGTCAAATTCCGGATTGGTGTCCAAAGTGCTGTGGTGTGTAACTCCAGTTCACTCAGACCACTCCTTACTAGGTATCAGACTGTGAGCGGGGCGCGGCGCCACCTGAACGGTACCTCGGCCGAGCGCCACGCATGCGCCGGCCCGGTGGCGCGGCCCTTTTTTCTTGGCTCACCTCTTCCTCGTGTGTCGGAGACTGCGGTGAACGCAAACGCTATTCAGATGCCCTCGGTCGGCCTTTCGAACCACACCTTCGGCTCCGAATCTCCGCGCCGACAGTGCCCCAGCCCTTTGCATGCAAAACCGTGAACCCAAATACCTGTTCTAAGCAAAAGGTCACTGGTGCTCATTTAACATGCACGCGGGTAGGGGGTCAAATTGAGTCCGCCGAAGGTTTTTCCGCAATGATTTCCGAAATACGCGGCGTTGCCGCGTCAAATTTTGCATAGCTGTAGTCAAGTGAATAGAAAATCACTTGACATCAAAACTTAGAAGAGCGTTGTAAGGTCACTGACCTACGGTAGGTCAAAGTTAAGCCATGGATTTAGGGGTCTAACGAATCGTTTAATCTCTTGCAACAACGGAGGGTTAGACGAAGACATACATCTTTGAGACACTTTCTTGGGCAATACAACAACTAAGTGAACAAATTACATTGACCTAAGGTCAGATATGAAGGTCAGAGCAGGGTAAAAAACAGCCTGTTTTATTACTCTGGCGCTCGCTGTATGTGGTAGTTTCTGGTCCTCATTTCGAACTTATTGGTAACAGGAACCGCATCATGCATCTTCTCTGAGCTTCTTAACGCTTCCGAATAGGTCGCTGATCTAAAATAACCCTGGTCAACATTTTTTTTTTATGAATACACTGCCTAGCACAATCTTTTTCGTGTATTTAAATGCAGAAATCAAAGCAATCTTGCACGATTTCGATCACCATGGACATAAAAAGGCCAAACACGTCACTGATCTTAAAGGAGCATGTGATCTTTTGCCGAGAACAGGTGTCTAGATTCCGGTCTCACTCTGGAGACCAGCCTGAAGTTTAAGCTTGTTTGGCCTTGTTTAACCCTAAGGTCATGACCTAGGAATCTCAAAATTTCACCCAAGTGAGTTCACGTACAGGCCAACACACGCTATGAAGGTGTCTCTAGCTCTCTTAGTTCCTGGGATCTCAAAGGGGGTCAAACTTCCCCCCTCCCCCGACATACGTGAAGAGTATCCAACAGGCCACCGGGGCGAGTGTTAAGATCAGTGACCTTATTTGATCTTTCGGAAGTCATGGTGACCAAAATTATACAAGACTGCCTTGATTTTTGCAATTAAATAAGCATAAAAACTACAATAAGTAGTATGCTTCTAAAACCAGAATGTAGACCTGAGTCATTCAGGGCATTGACCTATAGTGGCCTTTGAAAAGCCCTTGGAAGATGCATAATGCCGTTACTGTTATCAATAAATCTAAAATGAGCACCAGATTCTACCCTATGCAGCAAGTTCTACAATAACAAAACATGCTGGTTTGGCCTTAGTTTGACCCTCGTACCTGGCCTCAGTTCAATGAATTTATTCATTTAATAGTTTTTTTGTCGGAGAAATAATGTCAAAGATGCATGGCTTCATCTAACACTCCGTTGTTGCATCACATTAAGTGATTCCCCTAGTAGTTGCCTTCGCTAAATCCATGTCCTGACTTTTACCTGCCGTCGATCACTGACCTTACCAACTATATCTAATTTTCCATATAAACGATCCGCTACTTACTTGCCAACAACTGTGCAAAATTTGGCGCGGCTATGCCGCGCTGTTCGGAAATCATTCCAGAAAAACCTTCGGGGAAGTCAAATTGGCTCTCCACCCGAGCGCATGTTTACCCCAGGAGCTCAAGCAACTTGATGTCGCGCGTAATTTATAATTGGGAAGCCAGTTAGGGTGCCATGGGACATCATTGGTACCACTTTTGACAAAATCAACTGAGTCGCCGACCTCCCTTAAATGTGTGGATCCAGTTACCCAGTAACTTCAAACTCGGCCTAGAGATGGCGCTCGCGATGACAGCGAGCGCTCAGGATCACCAGCGACGTCAGCTCTCGCCGACTGTCTGCAGTTATCCGGTCTATGAGTGAGTCAGCATGGGCGTGCTGCTGTACGCTGTAACTATTCTGCTGCTGTTGCAACAGTGTTGTTGTGCGCAACATGCCGAACGACTGGGAAACTCGCCAGCAGGTACGCTTCCACGGTTGTTGGGTTTCGCAATTTCGTGCAATTTAGCGCCTTGTTGAGGAGTGATTTCGATATTATCGTTTTGCACGGCTTGCACATCTATTCACAAAAGCTGGACGTGATTCACGTCCATTGAGATGGTGGCAGTATTTCGGGGGGGGGGGGGGGAATCACCCACGCTTCAGTTTCAGCCATTTATATTCGTGCGTGCAAAACTATGTTGAAATGATGTTATGCAGTTAACCAGGCTGACCAGCGCAGGGTTTTGTGCTATCTGCACCATTGTTTATACTCAAAATGTGCGTTTCATCAGTCTCGCGACACGTAAGTCATCTGTTTTTATCAGCTTGTTAGTTCCGGTACGGCAGCCCGTCTCTGTACACTTCTCGGCATAAAGCACCCGGCGTCCTTGAACGGGCCGGTAATGCTTACTGGACACGAACGGCCCGTCTGTGTCTCGCTTGTATTCCGGGTGCGATATCACAGGACTACTTCCATAGCAGCGCCGAAACTTGACAGCTGTACACGGTCTGAGAACGCCAACTTCGATCGGGCTCTTCCAAAGTCGTGGGTGCGGTCATGGGCACGAGATAGGCGAATCAAAGACAGATGATCCCGAAACGTCCGAACTCTCTCATAACCGGGGCTTCGATGCTTGTGGTCTATTGATGACTGTGAGATATTGACAGGTCCGTGACTGTGCGCGGAACATGTGCCTTTCGCCTGCGTCCCATGCGCATGTCGTCGTATTCCGCCGCCTGCGTCCCGTACGTATGCCGTGCTCCAACTCCGCCGCCTGCGTCCCTCACGCATGCCGCGCTCTAACTCCGCCGCCTACGTCCGGTGCGCATGCCGCGCTCTAACTCCGCTGCCGCTCGCCCCCAGCCTGCGAGCCGGCCCCGCTCTCGGAGGCGACGCTCGCCTCCTGGGTCGAGCGGCACGCCGGCGTCCCCGCGCGTCGGCGGCGGTGGCGGCGCCAGCTGTTCGTAAGCGACACTGGCTGCAGCCTGCAGAATCTCTGCGACCCGGCGGCCTGGCCGCGCGTCTGCTTCTACAACACCGACATCTGCGACGACATCGTTGACTGCAATTCAGGCCGCGATGAGCTGTACTGCGACGAGTGCCTGTGCTTGTACCGAAGCAAGGACGGCGTCACCATGGACGTGCCTGCAAACGCACAGAAATCCTGGGTCGGGGTTAACCTGCGAGCATGCGCGCGCGCCTGCAACGACGTCGAGTCAGGCTGCGTGGCGTTCAGCTTCAACACGTTCAGCACCAGCGAAGATAGATGCCGGCTGTTCTTTCGGTCGGGTCGGCTGCTGAAAAGGACTGGCTACGAGCTGTACGTGCGCGAGACGCCGTCGCAGCCGCGCCTGGCGCCGCCACCGCCGGGCACCACCCAGGTTTCAAGCGGCCCCTCAGCTGTGAGACCCACGCCGACGCGCCCTGCCCTGCAGACGTTGGACCCCGTCTTCTTCGGTAACGCGTCGCTCTCGGGTGGTGAGCCGTCCGCTGTCTTCGGCAACGTGCCGCCCTCTAATGGAAAGCCGCCCACGTTCTCCGTCAGCACGCCTCCCGTCATCCCGCTGCAGCCGCCCAGCTCGCGGCCGCTGCCGGCGCCCGTGACGCCGACACCGGCGCTGGCCTGTGCTGCCGGCCGACTGCGGACGCCGCCCGCTGGCGGCGCTGGCTGCCAGCGACGTGCAGAACCGCGTGCTGTTGTCGAGCGGCGTGACCAACCGCGTGGTGTCCGGCCACCGCGCCTCCTACGGCACCTACCCGTGGCAAGCGCAGGTCGAGGCGTACAACAGGGCCGGCTACTTCGAGCACCACTGCGGTGGCGTGCTGATCGGCTCGCGCCACGTGCTGACGGCCGCGCACTGCATCACACGCGTCCTCTCCGCGCTGCAGGTCAAGGTGGGCCAACACGACCGTATGGATGCCTCCGAGCCGCACGAACAGACATTCGCCATCGAGAACGTGCTCTCGCACCCCGAGTATCGCGGCACCGCGCAGAGCGGCTACGCCAACGACCTGGCAGTTGTTAAGCTACGTCTGCGCCAGGGCCGGCCGGTAGAGTTCAGCGACCACGTGCAACCACTGTGCCTGCCGGCGGCCGACGCACCGCTGCAAACCGGTCAGCAGTGTGAGATCTCCGGTTGGGGCAAGACTGACGTGCTGCTGCCGGACGTGGCGGCCTCGGCGGCGCGCGAGCTGCACGGCGGCGAGGTGTCCGCTCGTCTCCGACGCGTTCTGCGGCGCGCAGGAGGTGTACGGCGCGCGCTTCGTGGCCGGCCGCATGGTGTGTGCCGGTCACGTGGCGGGTGGCACGGACGCCTGTCACGGCGACTCAGGCGGTCCGCTGGCCTGCCGCAGCGACGACGGCCGCTGGCTGCTCACCGGTGTCGTCTCGTACGGCACCGGCTGTGGCAACGAGCTCAATCCCGGCGTCTACACGAGGGTCGGCTTCTACGTGCCCTGGATCCGGCGCGTGGTGCAGCTGCTCTGAGCCGGTGCCGGCCGCCCCGAGCTCCACCGCTCTGGCCAGTCGCTCAGTGAAGGACGGTGGCCGCGGCTTTGCAAGGATCGGCTGATGTGGTGTGTGGGCTATGTTTGGATATAATGCAGGCTGAACAAATGATATATATATGGATAGGCTGCTGGCTATATGCATAATCCAGGAGGTTATCGATAATCGTGTGTTCTGCTGCAGGCCTCGCCCACTTGACGGAAACTACTGAGGGACCACGCCATGACATTTATGTGATCTGGTAAATGGTGCATCCAATGTCTTGGTGAGAAATACAGTACCAAAACATCATTGTAAGGTTTCCCTTTTCTAGATCATATGGGTAAGGGTGATGCTACTCTTATTTCAAATCTTGCTAAGGGTAAATTTCTGAGTTTTCTGTTGGCCCCCTGAAAAAAGACGAAAAATCATAGTGGAGGATAGAGATATTGTAGATACTCTTAACAGGCAGTTCCCTTCATTATTTTTAACAAAGGAAGCTTTGCATGATAGGTAGCATATATATGATAATGTGTATAAATATGCACACATACATATATATATATATATATATATATATATATATATATATATATATGCATGTATATAATCTTACCTGGTAATAGATACAATCTGACCGAAGGCAGTCTTGTTGGACGGTGACCGAGAGAATGGTGATTATGAATGAAATATTTCACCGCACATATACACACACCGCACACACACCGCGCGGTCGCCCATTGATCCGGATTCGCTTGCGGATTACGTGCGGCTCGCGGGTGACCGCCTCGGTGTCGCTCTCGCCGCTGCCGGTTCAGAGGGCAACACCAGCTGCTGCTCGGCAGAGGCCGGCCTCGGCTGATGGGCCTCACCGCCGGTGACGGCAGGACTGGCACTGGCGCTATGGGGGTTGGCTTCGTCCGCTGGCGCGACCGGTGACAGATGCGAGCGCAACAGTTCCCGACGGCTGGCTGCCGATCCTCCGCTGGGCCCACCCACCGCAGATGCGGCGGAAGGTGATGACGAAGGCCTCTGTGTAGCGGGGGACCCCTGCCGGTTCAGCGAAGTCGCGACGGCCGACTTACTCCTGCCAGCTGTACTTGACTGCCGTTCGCGGGAAGCGCTCTCGAGATAAGTCAACTTTTGGCTGTCTCTTTCCGCAGGCTCTGCTTGCTCCTGACGCTGTCGATGCAGCTGCCGCTGCGGCACGTCCACCGTGATGCTATTCTCTCGCAGAGCCTTGTCCTCTGCCCGCGCGCGCGCCACCTGGACCCTCCAGTAGCGCAGCGGTTTGAGACTGCCGCCCGGTTCGTCCGGGTCTGAACTTGCGGTTGCCTCTGCTGCGGGCGGCCGGCGGTACCCGGGGCCGCGGGGTGCCGGCAGCGTCCGAGCCGCTCTCGCCGCCCCGCTGCCTGGCGGGAGGGACGACCCGACCGGTGCCAGCCGGGCGCCATCTCGCCGCACCGCCGGCACCAGCCGGGCGCCGCCTCGCCGCCCCGCCGTCCTGCCAGTGCCGGCCTGCCGTCGTGCTCGTCCCCGTGGCGGCGGTCTCAGCCGGGGTCGGCGGAGTAGAGGACCGGACCCACAAGTCGCCCACCGTCGGGTGGAATGTGGTGGCCGCCACGGCATCGGGCGGGCCGCGTCGCCCGGCGGCGGCGGTCGACGGCTTGCCAGCGGCGGCGTCCGGGACGGCTGCAGACCAGCGACCCGCAGACTCGGACTTCATACCGCGGTCGAAGAAGCTCCGCACGGTGGGGCTGATGGCGCGGCTCGGCGCGCCCGGAGCCGTGGAGGCCGGCGGCGTCTGGAACGGAGCCGAGAGGGTGACAAAGATGGCGTCCTGCGGCGTTCGAGCGGTGGTATGGCCGGCCCCGGACACCGCGAGCCTCTGGGTGGAGAACGGAGCGTGACTGGGCCAGCTGGCACCGGTTGCCGGGATCTCGTTGGTGCTGATCTGGTCTGCGTTTTGCGTCGTCACCGGACGTGAGTCATGTCGGGAGGCAGTGCTGACGGACGGGGGATCCGGAGACGCCTCAGGGGTGCGCTCAGACGACCTGCTGAACGAGAAGTCTTCAGCTCCCTCAAGCGGGGCTCCCGCGCGTGGCACTCCGGTGACTCGGGAAGGGAAGGCGCTTGTGGAGGAAGACGGTGGCTTGGTGGAGCTTGTTGCGTCTGAGGAAGATGGGACAGTGGCTGCGGTGTCACCGGGATGAGAGTGGACTGGAGATGGCCAGGTGGTCGACGAGAAGGCCACCTGTGAAGTAAACCGGCCAGACGTTCTCGGGAGAGACTCGCTTCTCCTCGGGGGGAAGGTCGGCGGTGACTCGGCCGCTGAGTCGGCGGTCGGCGAGAAGGGCCTCCCTCTGGTGACTGCACGTGGCGCCGTGGTTCCCACCAGGCGCTTTCCACTCCCTCTGGTCAGAGAGTTTCTTCTCGACGGAAGACGCGAGGCAGACCGCACGCGGCCACTAGCCACAGGGGCGTCCCGTCCTCGCGACCCTGCGCCGCGCTCACCAAACGGCGTCGAGGGGCGGGCCGTGCTAGCGGCCACCGACAGGTCTGATACCCGACCGGAGTCGCCGACAGCCGCTCCACGGGCCGCCGGCGCGCGCGAGACGCTCGCCGCCTGCTCGCGCGGCCGAGCCGTCCTGCTCGACGAGACGGACGGGCGCGATGTGGAGGCGGCGACAACCTGGTCCGCCTGTCGGAACGTGCTCAGTCGCACGAACGGAGATCGTGTCGCAGGCGTTGTGAAGTATTGTGCCACCTCTCCTCCGCCGCTGAGCCTGCCCGCACGGGAGCTGTATTCGTAGTCGTAGTCGTCGAGAGGTGGCAGGTCATCGTCACGCAGGGCGTTGAAGGATACTTCTTCGTTGGAGCTGCTCTTGAAGATCTCGAAATTCCTGGCGTATTGCACGGTGGCGTACTCGCAGGTGACTTGGAACCAGTTGGCGCAGATCAGGTGTTGCTGGTCGAAGACAGTGTCGTTCGGGCACAGGAATCGGAAACTGGTGCTCTGTAAAACATATTCACAGTGAAACACGGTGAGCATATCATGCTGAAAGTCATAAACCTCAGCGTCAGCACAATCTTGAGGGTTCGCATTTGAGATCATATTTCGCTAATTGTGGGAGCTCTGGGTTTGCGCGGTGTGCGTGACCCCGCCACTCACCGCGACGACGTTAACGTTTTCAGTGCTCTGAGAGATCTGTGTGCCCCCGCGACTGTGCGCTCGTTGTTCGTGGCGCGTGCTGCCGCACCCCAGCGCACCACCCGAGCGCCGTTGGCAGTTGTACTGCAGCCACCAGCTTTTCGCCTGCCGTTGCCTCGCTGGGGGTTTTTGTGTCGCGCACCCTCGGCCTGGAAACGCTTGCCCTCGGCCATCATCGCCGCCGGCAGTGATTAAGCCAGACAGCTGCATCGCGGCACCAAACCGCTGCGCGTCTGGGAAACGGGAGGTACGGGGTTCGACGCCCCGCGGTACCCGCCCTTCCTGCCAGGGTGAAAGGCAGGCGACGCCATATAGCCTCGGCAGCTGAGTGCGCCGTAAGGCCCCAGTGACACACACGCACTCATGCACGCACGCACGCACGTACGCACACATCGCGGCACCACGTGAGCTCGTACCACCTGATCCGATGTTTCGACGTGTATATTTAAGTAATTTTGGTTCATCAACGTTTAGATTTGGGTAATTTAATTTCATTTTGCTTTTGACGCTCCGTGTGTTACCATTTACTGTTATGATTGAATTAATGTCGATTGGATTCATATAAAACCGTGATTCTTCAATAAACCAACGCTCCTGACGAACGCTGTTACCCTAAAAAGGCACTTAACTACCCAGTGCTTTCACCGAAACACCATTAGCACAACATTTTCCAGCAATACATCTCCCACATTAGAGCATAGTTCCAACTGACTTATCCCGCCGTGCCGGAACCACTACTAAGAAGACCTCAGTGACCGAGAGTGGAAGATAGCCATATATAACAACAGCTCTGACGCAACAGATTGATTCCTGTGCTAAAGTGTTGCATAATGCACTGCAGGCTGGTGTCGGTCGCAGGCAAGTCACGGACACGGCCACTTATTTGGACCATCCAGGATAACCCGGAGGATGGTGCTGCCGATCATTATAGTGATAAAACAGGGGGGAGTGGCACGCCCGTCATACGTCGCTTCTCCGCCATGTACGACTAACCTGCGAAACACCGCACACGTGGAACATCTGGCAGCCGGCCTCCACGTCTGCGTAGTAGCCACCGACCACGCGGCCCTCGCACGAGAAGCCAGTCTCGGGCAGCGCGTCCGGACTGTAGTTGGGCGGCGGACGCTGCGCCCCGGCCGGCCACACCAGCAGCAGCAGCAGCTGCAGCGGCAGCAGGGCGCACGCGGCTGAGGCCAGGGCGGCGCGGTAGAGGTCAGTCATCCACGCCCGGCGTGACAGAGGTGGCGCCGGACCCGACACTGATTACGTGACTTTATTTGACATCAGTCTTTGATCCCGTGATGAGACTCTTTGAACACCCAAGCACTCGGGTTTACTGAACACATTCAGATGGCTTTCGACTAGAAGTCTTCAGGCGGAAGATTTCCTATGCTCAATCCGCCAGATATATATCTAGCATTACTTATGCGCACAAACTAACGATTCATCATCAGTTGTACCAATCCATTTATAATTTCCAGCAATTTAGTTCTAACTTATGAAAGGGTTTTAGGAAACTTTACACTGTTTCTTAACCTGATGCATTAAAGTTGCGCGAACAAAGCTGATGATGACTGGATTGAGCACAATCAGTGATTTGATTGATTCTTGATTTGAATCACTGATTCTTGAATCAGTGATTTGAATCATTGATTCTTGAAACACGTACACGAAGCGTCCTAAGTATCCCACCTGTTTGCACACTCACAAATTTTCCAAAACACTTAACTGATACAACACCCTACCCAATCAATACAGGTACAGGTACCCTCATTCAATCTCTCAAGTC